TTTTTTTTTTTTTTTTTTTTTTTTTTTTTTTTTTTTTTTTTTTTTTTTTTTTTTTTTGTATGCCCGTGTATTCTTTCATTTTTCCTGAATGGAAGTTCGCTTATTCATTATTAAAAAAAAAAAAAGGTTAGTTTTAAATTTCCTAAGCTCTTCCTACTTAGAATTCTTAATTTGTTTATATGGTTCGCTTGTTAGATCATGATTGTATCATCTTTTTATGAAGTTGGTTTGGTTGGAGGCTTATGCCTTTTTTTCGCTATCTGGATTTTGAAATTTAGTTTTTCTTTCACATTGTGTTACAGAATGTATCGTATCTTTTATATAGTTGATTTTGAATTTGAGGCTTATGCCTTCTTCTTGCTATGAATTTTATGCAGTAAGGAGAGAGATTAAAATATTGAGATTGTTCATGCATCCTCACATTATACGGCTCTATGAAGTCATAGAGACCCCGACAGACATTTATGTTGTGATGGAGTACGTAAAATCTGGAGAGCTCTTTGATTATATTGTAGAAAAGGGAAGGTTGCAGGAAGATGAAGCCCGTATTTTTTTCCAACAGGTAAGTTGCAATTGTAATTCTAAACCTTGGTTGCAACTTGCAATTCGTGATACTTCTATCTGAGTTATGATGTGGGCTATCAACTTTCATGGAACAGATAATTTCTGGTGTGGAGTACTGCCACAGGAATATGGTGGTGCACAGAGATCTTAAGCCTGAGAATTTGCTTTTGGACTCCAAATGTAATGTGAAGATTGCTGATTTTGGTTTGAGCAATATAATGCGTGATGGTCACTTTCTGAAGACAAGTTGTGGGAGTCCCAATTATGCTGCTCCAGAGGTAGGTTTATTGCAGGGTAGTAACTCCCCAGGAACTGATTCCGTTTCGTTGGGTTTCAATTTAATAGCCACAACTTTTAAATTAAATTTTATATTTAGGTAATCTCCGGGAAATTATATGCTGGACCTGAAGTAGATGTATGGAGTTGTGGTGTTATTTTGTATGCGCTTCTATGCGGCACTCTTCCTTTTGACGATGAAAACATTCCCAACCTGTTTAAGAAAATAAAGGTATTTCTAGATTTATTTCCATTTAGCTTAATTTTTGTTATTGTTGGAATATAGTATCTTGGCGATCTCGAGCTTCTGCTCGTAATTTTTTTCCTCTTAATGTTAGTATTTGCAGATATGGTCGGTTATTTTCAGATTCTCAAGGAAAATAACTGCCTTCTATAATTTATTAGTATGGGGCATTGGAGAAATATTGATTTATTTTAGATGTCAATTTCATGTACTTGGACTCTCCCTTATTGTCGCCAAGTTGTCTCTGTTTTACCTATTTAATTTAATATAATACAATCACCTGGCAGTTAATTCAAACTGTCTGGAGAATGCTGAAAACTCCAAATCTTAACTGAAATTTTGCTGTCTTTTAGGGTGGGATCTATACTCTTCCAAGTCATTTATCGTCAGGTGCTAGAGAATTGATTCCTAGTATGCTGGTTGTTGACCCAATGAAGCGCATCACCATCCCTGAGATCCGACAGCACCCGTGGTTTCAGGCTCATCTTCCACGCTATTTAGCTGTGCCTCCACCTGATACAATGCAACAAGCCAAAAAGGTTTGGTAATAAAAATTTAAGAAATATCCCCAAAAAATCTTCTTTAAGCAATATCTTGAGAAGCCTTTAATTTCTTGAATTTTCATTATCTTATACTCCTAGTACTATATTTTATCATATAAAAAGGTTTATTTGCAGTTTTTTTATTGGCCACCTAAAAAACTTTTGCATTAATTTGACTTTGTGCTTAAGATTGAAAGGATTCTTGCACTTTAGTTTTCCTTGTGCTTTAAAAAAAATGCTTAGTTTTACTTTTTGTTATAATACTCTGTTTTTATGATGTTACTGGCAGAGTTCATTAATTTTTTCCTATGCCATGATTCCTGGTGAATTAGCGGACTCTCGAGAGTTTATTTTCTTTTGAAATCGACTGCCCTGTGAGAACATTTGTAGAACTTGCATAAGGAAAACCTCTGAATTCACTACTTCGGATTGTAGGCAGGGAAAAATAAGAACTGTTTTAAGGTTCTGTATGTCTTTTCTAAATCATGATATATTAGATTAGGATTTGTAGGTCTGAATGTATTCCTTTGTATTTTACCTTTCTGCTCCACGTAGTTAGACCATAAATTTTTCTTCTTCTGCATTGCAGTTTTCACTTATTGTGATGAATCAATAAAATATATGTCGACCTAAAATACATTGGATAGCTAAATATGTTTGTGTTCTTGAAAAGTCTGTTTATCACTATTTTTTAATTAGGGTTTCTTTGGAAGTCAGGTTGAAACTAGTTTACATTTTTTTATATGGGAAACATGCTATTATTTCATAATATGAAATAATACAAAAGAGAGGGAAGATAAGGGCAAGCCAAAAGAGTCTTACAGAAACACCTCCAGTATGTCATTAAGGGAGATAAACTGTAGTTTTGAAAGTAAGAGTGTTTTTACACCAGCTGAGAGCCAAGCAAGTGGATTCATAAAGCTATCAGAAGGCTTCCCTATATCATTGTTTCTCTCCATCCACGTTGACCATAAGAATGCCCTGTTAATGGAGCTTCTTTTCTCTTTTAAATGATAGCCTCTGATAGGGTGACGGCTAGCATAACTTGAATATTTCTAGGATTGACTGTATACCATCCGAAGAAGGAAATCACAGCTTTCCAGAAGGATTTTGCAAATTGACAAGCAGTGAAGGGATAATAAGCCAAGGGGATCTTCATTGCAAGCTGTCGAATGTGTTTATGCAAGTGTGACTTAGTTCTCTTATAAAGAACTTTATCTTCAAAGGGTGCTTTCCTTTTCAAATGCTTGCACGGAGCTGTGGGCATGTACTTGTAACCTTTGATGCAAGGCTCTGTGTTAAACACGTGGTGGTGATATAAATCTTTAGGGTCAATTTGCGACTGGCAAGCATCCCTATTCTTGTTGTAATTTATGAAGGAAAGTGTGCAGTAGGGTTGCAGTTTGCATTATTCAAAATTTTAAAGAATTTTTATTATGTAGAAATTGGTAGGACACTTCTTTAAAACAGTTCTTAATAAGAAAATAGGAACAGTATTTTATTGTCCTCTCATGTTTTATTTAGTTTTTTAAAAAAATTAACTGTTAGTTTACTAGGCAGCTATTAGATGGCCATTGCATTGCGTCATTAGTATGTCTTTTAGAATATAACAAAGAGTAGTCAACCAGATATTACCCAACTTACTCGACACCTATCCTTCTCCATAGGATTAATGAGTTCTTTTCTGGTTTTGCAATAGAGATTCTTAATTGTTAGTTATGTTGTCCCGCCAATTAAACTTTTTCCTTGATTAGTTATATATTTATTTTTTCAGATTGATGAAGACATTCTTCAGGAGGTTGTAAAGATGGGATTTGACAGGAATCAGCTGGTGGAGTCTCTTCGTAACCGAATTCAAAATGAGGTGCATAATTACTTCAACTTATTTTCTGAAAGAAATTGAAAATTTTCCCTGCTATTTGTTACCAATAATCATTGTATTGATAATAATTTCAGGCTACAGTTGCTTATTATTTGTTGCTGGACAACCGCTTCCGTGTTTCTAGTGGTTATCTTGGAGCTGAGTTTCAGGAGACTATGGTATTCTTGTTCTGGACTTCTGTCTGATAAAGCTTCTCACGTGTTTCTTTCTTACACTATTAGAAAGTCCTTTCCACCTGCCCTCCAGAATGCATCTTGCTGAAGATTCCCATGTTGAGTGTCAAAAGAAAAGAAAAAAAAAAGTTCGGGAACTTTTTTGGCTCATTTTTGTGATTTTTTTCCCCTCATTTCCCACCAAAAAAATTAATAAAAATCTTGTGATGTATTTCTCCTGTATTTTGGGGGG